AGGTGTTCTTGAACTCAGTTCAAGTTGACCTCAGACTCTTAGCAATCCTCCTCAGCCTCCTCCGTGCTGGGATTACAGGCATGTGCCACTATGCCCAGCATAGATATCCTTTTCAATTAACCTGCCCCTTATGTGCTGTTGTCTCTAGTGGAGAGGGTGTTGTCATCTTTTTGCCTTTGCTTTGTTTATATCTCCTGTAGTAAAAAGTGGTTCAGTTTAGACTTGTCCGGGCAAGTAGGTGTTCCTCTTATCTCCCTCAATTTATTTCCTCCTTATTTGCAAGCTATTGTGGTTCTTTTGTAATCAGTCTGTAATTCCCAGGAGAGCTAAGTCAGTTACTCAAGTAGTGGTACATTTTTCCTTAAGCATTTTATTATTTTTATCTGGCAGGCTTACCTTCAGCAGACTCAAGAACTGGTTTTACTTGAAACCATAATGCTACAAACACTAGGTACGTGTGTATATGAATATGTTCTTCAGTGTAATATTCTACATATGTAGTATTTGTAGAATAATTTTATTATTGAAGAAAGTTATTTTTAGACAGGTTTTTGGACCAGAATACTATTGCCTACGTAGAAGGGAACCATTTTTCTAAAATTTCATTTCATTTAGTATAATTTACAGTAATGGTAAACATAACCTCAATATGATATGTTTGGTTTTTGAATCGTTGCAACATTATGCTGGATTTACACTGGAGAGTGCTTTGTGGCAGTCCTTGCTTTCAGCGCTAATAGTACTTAGTGAATATATCACATCATTTTTAATGTGAAATAGTAATTATTGAAATGGTCCTCTTGTTCTGAAAGTTTCCTTTCTATGCAAAGTTTATTTACTCTTTCACTTCACTAATAAAAAAATTAAGACCTAAGATGGTTATGACCTGTTAAAATCGTGTTCTACTTAAGGAAGAATGTAGTATGGTGTGGTAGGATAAATATGTGCTTTCAGAGGGGTTTAATTTTAAATCTGTAGGCCCCTGACTTGTTCTGTAAACTTGGGCAAAATTTCTTTACCTGTTATACTTCTATTCTGTGAACGTGAAATAATATCTGCTTTATATCACAAAGGTAGATTCTTATTATAAAAGCAGCTGGTTGAAGTGTATATAATAAAAAGACAAAAATAAAAGTGAGACTTACTTGGCATGTTGTCATTTTATACAAAATAATACAAATTTATGGTAAGTTTTGAACATTTACATAACAGCATTTTGAATGAAAAATTATAAACTGCATTATCATAAAATAGTATAAAGTTTTGCTTTGGTGTTTTGCTTTTTTTTCATTTTGTTTTGTTTTTGAGACAGGGCCTCTCTAAGTTGCCCAGGCTGGGCTTAAACTTGTGGTCTTCCTGCTTCAACCTCCCAGAATACCAAGACTATAGGCATGTACCACCATGCCTGGCTTATAAGTTGTTTTTATTATATGAAGACATGTAGAGGCTGAAGGTACAGTTTAGTGGGAGAGTGTTCACACAGCATGTCCAAGACGTTAGGTTAGATTACCAGTACCATTAATAAGAATAAGAATATGGAATTTTATAGTTGGGCAAGATGGTGCATGCCTGTGATCCCAGGTAGTTGGGAAACTGAGGAAGGATCACAAATTTGAGGTCAGCCTGGGTAACTTAGTAGATCCTGTCTTAAAAGGGGGTAGGGTGAGGATATAGCTCAGTGGTCCCAGGATTTAATACCCAGAATGGGGTTGGGGGTTGTGTAATATATATGTTTATAATACATTTTGAAACATGGAGAATAAATAACATTATTTTAGAGGAACATTAAAATTCTAGACAAAATGCCTCTATGGTTTTATTTAAAGTATTTTACATGTTTAATTGCAGAGGAAATAAAAATTGTAAAACAACTTCATAAATGCAGATTACCTGTTGTTATTTTTATTCACTTACTGCTTCAGAAGACACTAGATGTTAACAGCCCCTTTTAATAAAAGCAAAAATCCTGACATAACTAAGGATTAGACATTGAAAGCTTTTCATCATTTAATTTTGGGTTTTAGAAACATTGATTTAAAGAATTGTGAGGCCTACGCAGTTCACTTGCCGTGATTCTTGGTACAGTAATAATGAAGTCTAGTTATAAGCAGTGTGAAACCTTTTGATGTAACACATAGTTAAGGGGACTGTTATTTAAAAGTAATCTCTACCACTGTTGTCCAACAGTTATGTTTATGAATAATGTTTTTTCACATCTTCTGAAACAAAGGTTTAAAATATTAAGAAAATTTCCTGCATAAACTAATGAAAGTTGTTTAACACATAATTGTTGTTTGCTGTGACTTTGTTTTTAACTTGAAGATAATTTCAAATTAATTATTCAGAATTTTGAATAAAATTACCCTTGTCTTTAAATAACTTTTCCTAGTTGAAACATTGTAGTTCTCATTTTTAAAGGTATACTGAACAGTGTTACGCCTCCAGCAGTGATAGAGAAGCTTTAAGAATTTTGTCTTTGGGTTTATCTTAACAATGAAGATTATATTATAGATTTATGGTTCTGTGGTAAATGGTATTTCTCTGGCAAGCATGTAGTGGTAAGTGGTTGGGGAAAAAAATGCTTATAATTTCAGGTTTTGAGATCACCATTGAACACCCACACACAGATGTGGTGAAGTGCACCCAGTTAGTAAGAGGTAAGTCATCTTAGAAATTTTTAAAATAAGTATTAATGCTTTTATAATTTATAAGTGTTTTGGATGCTATTTTGTTCTGTAGTCTTTTGTTGGGTTTTATTAAAATGGGGTAAATGTCATTATGAAGTATTATTTTTTAGTGTTCTGCATCTTCTATTTCAAAGCAAGCATTAGTTCCCTTTAAACTTAGATGAGTATATCAGTTCACTGAAAAATTGGAGGACTCCCAAGTAATAGGAATCTTCCCCCATTGGACTGCTCCATTCCCATTCCCATTCCAGTTAATATTTAGAATGCAAGCCATTAGTATACTGGTGTAACTAGTAATGTTAATTTCTGATTGATAACAAACTTCCATTGTCTTCTTAAAAAGTGATAACAGTTTAAGAATTTTGAAGTCAACCTCTTTCAGCTAACAGTTGCCTTTACTAGTAGATTTGTTATCTTTGGAAATGGTTTTCCCATATTCATTGAAACAAAATCAATTTACTACATTTTTTTAAAGTTCTTTAGCATTTCTAAAAAAAAAACTATTTCCTTTTCATGTAAATGGAGAAATAATTATAAATCAGAATACATTTTGTGATAAATAGGACTGAGGTTTTTGTATGTTTGCTTTACTGCGTATAAAGCATGTGATACATCGTTCTCATATCAGTGAATTCTGTGTATCTATTGTTGGAGTCCTAGAAGTACTTTTTACATAGCTGCATGTCTGTTTCTTCTATTTTCCTGTTACCCATTTGAAGTGTTATATACTCATAACAACCTCTTCAGACCTTTAGTATATGTACACGTTTTTCCTATTCCTTTTTGAATAAAAATTTTGCAGTTTCATTCTTTTGCCCCCAGCCTTTTAAGTTACTCTAAGCAAAATAGGTAAGACTTTTGAAGGCCTTATTTTGTTTTTAATGTTTATCCAAATATTCTCACATTTTATTCATCCTAAATTGAATTCATTTTATAGATAGCATTTTCTGTTGATCACTGCATTTTTTAAAAAAGCATGTAGTTGGTAACTAAATAGATTTCTATCATAGTAACTCACATTATTACTACATCACTTTATACACTAGAATGTATTTAATTTATGATTTCCATTATTATATGAATTTTAAAATATAAATATACTTTATAGCACATTCTCACCCCCAGTATTACAGTATAAGTGCAGAATTATATAACTAATTATAGATGATGAATTAAGAAAAAAATTATAGTTTCATCAAAGATTTTAAAGGGCAAGCTAAGCTTTGTAAGAAAAATAGAGAACCATATAATCTGTTCTCAGTTGAGAACCTAATGATAAAAGATATTAGTTGAAGGAAAATATTAGTGTATGCTTTTTAAAATCATGTATGTATATTAGCTCAGTAAAAAATAAAACTAGATTTTAAATCATTCACAAAAGTTGCAGATTTGATACATCATACAAAAGAAAGCATTTAAATCTGATTTTGTTGTTATTACCAATGTTTAAAATGTGACATGCCTAAATTTGAGTTCAGACCATATATGTTTAATTTCATTTTGTCTGACTAACATTTCGGGTAACTATAATTATCTCTCACTCCATTAAAAAATGTTCTTTCATGTTTGGTGTCTGTTTTTCTTTGCTCTGTTACCACTTTCAACTAACAAGAACATTTCCCTTCCATTCTTAACAGTGATGGTAGACTATTGAATTAGATACATTCCTAGGTGAAAACTGCTATAGCAATTTAAAGTGATTTTTCCTTTTCTATGTTTTGATTACTTTGGGGGTAAGGGGTACATTAATTTCTGTAAAGTCCCCCCTCCATGAGAAGGTTGATATTGTGCTACTTTGGTACAGAATTGGCTATTGTCATTTTCCAGGGACCTTTCATTTCTGTGATTTCTCCTTCCCTCCCCACCAGGAAAGAATGCCATACTTAAGTCACACTGCCTCCAAGACATCTGATGCTTTGACACTCTTCCTTAGTTCAACTCTGCCAAACCCAAATCCCTTTTGTAAAACCCTTATGTTGATGATCCACATGGGGCAGCAGGGATTACAGGTGCCATGAATAAGGGGGGCTGGGATTTGAGCCCTGTTACAGAGGGGTAGCATTGAGATGAACTGATCCTAGTAGAGCAGTGTTTGAATGTAATTGGGGATAAAAATGAAACTACAGCAAGGATATTTCTGTTGGAAAGAATAATACCGAGCGGAAGAAGGGGAGGGGAAACTATTTTCAGTACCTTAAGAAGCTGGTTAAAAATTGCTTTTCTGAGCTGGGCGTGGTGGCACACGCCTGTAATCCCAGCACTTGGGAGGCTGAGGCAGGAGGATCATTGTGAGTTGGAGACTAGCCTCAGCTACAAAGTGAGCTCAAGGCCAGCCCGAACTGCACATTGAGACCCTGTCTCAGAAAGACCAAAAAAAAAAAAAAATTGCTCTTCTGTTGGGGACCAGTGTTAAAGCATCCTGACTCATCCTTGAGGACTCATATCTTCTCTAAATGTTATTCTTAATTGGATTCTATAAATTTTCTTTAAAAATAATACAGTGGAGCTTCTAATATCTACCACCTTATGATGTTCCTAGGTTGTTTATTCTGTTGATGGTTAATAGCATGAAAAACTGATGAGCAGTTTGTGCTCTCTGATTTTGGGAGGGTGGGGGTTTTGTTTTATTTTATTTTGATGGAATTATTTAAGCCAACTTAAATGACTGAGGATTAAGTCTGGCAGGCAACTCTGTATTTTGTATTAGACTTCAAAAATCTTTTCTTCTTCTTCTTCTTCTTTTTTTTTTAAATCCAGGAGAATGCTTTATTTCAACTTTTAGCTGACTAGATGCTTAACTTAGTAACAAGTTTAGCCCTTGTAACTGGCTAGCTAAAAGCAAATCGGCTTGTTTCTCAGATCTTTGGGGGATAGCAAGAAACATTTGAGTGAATGTTGTTGAAGATTTTCAGTAGTATAGAAAATGATGGCGCTCTTGTGATATTTGTAAGTAGTAAGTAAAATTTACTTTTTGTGTACAAATCTTTGAAGTTTTGTTGTGTTGAGAACTTTTTGATGGTAGCATGTTAATGCTGATAGTTTTGTCTTCGTTTTTTCTTTCTTTTCTTACAGCAAGCAAGGATTTGGCACAGACATCCTATTTCATGGCTACCAACAGGTTGTTATCCTGACCCTCTTTGTTGCACTGTTGTAGCACACTATAGCTTCCTTTAATGCAGGGCCCCCTCAATGTGTCTCTTACCCTTGTTGCAACAGGAGACTGGACCATCTACTGTGGTGGTACCTTCCTGTTTGCTTTGCGGTGTATTGTACAAGGGACTTTGGGCACAGAGGGGTTAAATGCACAATGTGAAGTGTAGTGGTGCTTTCTGATGACATATTCTCGATTTGTGAGTGCATAAGTCTAAAATTGGTAGCCTGAATAGCAGCTAAAGATTACAAAGAGCTAAACTTAAAGTAGAAACTCGAGCAACTTGGTAAGTATAAAGCTATTTCTAGTTTACAATTATAGTTAAATGACAATTTTTTTAAATTTCACATTGATCTAATCTAAATGGTCATTAAAGTTTTTTAATAAATAAATTTCTGTAACTTGGGGGTTTTCTCCAGATAATAAAAACAATAAATTAGAAGTAGTCCAGTTGTTCAGTGCCTGGGTTTGCATAAATACAATTTTTACTTCTATAAGTTTCAAAAACTTCCTTTTCAGTTTATATAAAGCAAAAGATGGTATGTTTGTGATCAGTAAACATTTCATCAGTTCTGAAAATAAACTGGAGAGTGATTTTAAAGAACTTTGAATATCTAATATATAATTCTGTTCTAGTTTGATATTAAAGATTTAAATTTGTTTTTTAAGTGCGCTTTTGAGAAAATGGACCAAACCAGTTTTGTATGGTCCTTAATATCTTGTGACCCTGATAAATTCTGTTTAAAATTTTGGATTGGCAGGTGCCAGTATATTTTCTGAAATGCATGTTGGAATTTAACCTCGGTCCCTAGAAATTCTGAAGGGGAAAAGACAAATTTTAAAACTCTGGTTAGAAAGGCTAGCCCTTCTGTGATGTGTTTGTTATCTGCCCAGTTTTTAGTATATAGTAGGAGGAGAATGTTAGTATTTTTGTAACAGTTAGCAATAATGGCCCCTGAAGTTGTTTTTCAAAAGGTAAGTTCCCTGTGGGGCTTTGTTGAAAAAAATAGCAATTTACATAGATAAGAAATAAGTTTTCTTTGATTACTAAAGAATTATATCTAAGCCACATCAAATGGTTATAATCCTTGATTATGAGTTGACATTGAAATTACTTTTACAAAGTCTTTTTAAATTACATTTTTGCCATGACATTACAAAAGAAATAAAAGTACCAAAAAATTCTATTTATGTCTAGTAATTGCAAATATACTATCTTCCTCTCTTTTTTATAAAATGCTCTGAATTTACATATACAAGTGAAATTTTTAAATGCCAATATATTAGTGATAGTAGGGTATTAATATACCGTGAGGGAAAGCATTTTATAATCTACATAGGCTTTTTTCATATTAGAATTTTTGTTACTGTTAGCTTTTAATTTAATAAGATTAAGAAAACCTAAACTTTTTTTTTTTCTTTAATCTTACTGATAAATGTTTTTCTTTGTTTTACATATTTGAATTTCTATGGCCCTCCATTTTCAAACCTGCTCCACAACAGTCTGCATCTTACGACCTTCTGTCTTCAGTACAAACCAACAGTGATAGCTTGTGTGTGCATTCATTTGGCTTGCAAATGGTCCAATTGGGAGATTCCTGTGTCAACTGATGGAAAGCATTGGTGGGAATATGTAGATCCTACAGTTACTCTAGAATTACTAGATGGTAAGTAGAGAAATTGTTTTTTACATGAGATTTTTTTTTAATTTTTCATTATGGAAAAATTTACTCTGGTTATTTATTAATAATTGGATTTCAAAAGATAAGAACTCTGAAAACATAACTATAATTCTATGATGAAGTTCATAGAATGAAAATAAGGTTCATTACTCTAATGAATAAACAAACAACTGACTATATTAACCTCCAGTGTACATACAAGATATTTAGGATTAGAACTTAATCATTAAAAAATGGGGCTGGGAATGTGGCTCGGTGGCTGCATGCCAGGCGTGAGTCCCTCGGAGCCATTCTAGCACTCCCAAAAAGAAAAAGGAAAAATACAGAGTCCATCCCAAAAAAACGCATACATACTTCAGGAAAAGAAAAACATATAAATATTTCAATACTAAATTTATAGAGACATGAGATTAATACAAGTTACCTTTGGCCTCCGCAATTACAAGAGGTGCTCAAAGAGGTGGCCATTAGCTTCCAGATATTTGTTAGTGCAGTGAACTGCTGCTTGGATAACCATGGTCATTGAGATTGCTGCACATGCATTTTCAGTTTCTCAAGACCTGCAGTATAGTGAGTTTTTTGCAATATATGACATCTTCTAGGCTCACCATGTGAGGGTAAATTCATCTGTTGAAAGAAATATACTATTTTTCTTTTCCTGATGTATATACTTTTTTTTTTTTTTTTTGGCAATAAGGCCTTTTTGAGATTTTTCAGAGAAATACTTTAAATGCTGTAGGTTAACAGGACAAGAATATCTTTTAAAACATAATTTTCAAATATGTAAATTTAGGCTCAGGGTATAACTCGGTGGTAGAGCACAAGTTTACATGTGCAAGGCCTTGCGTTTAATCACCAGCACTGCAAAGAAAAAGAAAGTGTTGCTGTAAACTCAGGAGTTGAGCGTAAACTATAGATGATACTAAACAGTAAGCTGAGATTTTTCTGGGTAACCTTTCTTGCTTTTTAGTGCTGTTGCTTGCACTATTAAACATGAATGGACAAGGGAAAATTGGGGTACAAATTCTGTCAGTTTTAATCCGAAACTTGGGGATCTCCCAGATCTGATGAGAAAAGGTTATTCTGGGGATTAGGACATTTTAATTAGGTAGTGTAGACTTCACAAAGGAAACTACACTGCTTTTGTTTGCAAATAATTTGGTTAACAAACAGAAGCAGTTGGCAAAATTTTGTTTTTGTTTACAAACTGCATCAGGTACAGACATAACGAAGGTCATCTTGCCTAACTGTAGAACAAACTAAGTTTGTGAACCAAGGTACCGCTGTGTAACACTTCTTACCTGACTGATAAAACTGAACTGGTATTATCAGATTTTCAGCCTACTTTTTTGGGGGCTTTTCCCAGTTCTTTTTACAAAATTGAGGCTAATGGAAAAACAGGATTCACATTTGTTACTGTTGCAGACATAGTGTTGCATAAAGTGAGAGAGAAGATGCTTTGGAGTTCGTTGGCTGTTAAGATCTCTGTTGCAGCTGCGCAGCTTTACTGTTGTAGCTGGAAAGCAGCTGTAAGCAGTAGGTTAATGAATAGGTAAGACTATATTCCAATAAAACTTCGTTTACAAAAACAGGCAGCAGGCCATATCTGACTAACTGGCCATATGTAGTTTGCCTGCTCCTACTATAAAATAGCTTCTTTGGGGCTGAGGGTATAGCCCAGCAGCACACAGCCTGCCTGGCAAGCGCAAGGTCCTGAGTTTAATTCCCAGTACCCAGGAAAAAAGTATAAAATAGCTTCTTTGTTGAATTCCTTCATTTTCATTTTTTCCTCCTCAAGCAGTTTCTCCCAAAGTTTGTAGTTCATATCATACTACTGCCACCTGATTGTACTGGTTTTTTTTTAGTTGTTAGACGTTCTCTCAGAGTTTATCCAGAGCAAAGAAAATCTTCAGTGAATTGAAATGACATCTGAAAACCCCATGGGGCTTTTTTTGTACTGTTTTTATCTGTTCTGTAACTTGAAAATCAGATTGTCTTATATACTGTGTTAACTTTAGCAGTTGCTAGATTAAGAAAACATAATTTTTACAAAAATAATTTATATAGATAGGAAAGTAAAACTCACAAAAAGTAACTAATCTGGGCTAGATTTCACAAAGTTACTAGGATCCTTTAAAATTTCTTATTTTTATTAGTACATGTTTGCAAAAATTACAGGAAAAGCCATGTAAAATATCTTTCCACTTCCATTCTGAGAAGGCTGAATTGCATTCATTATTGATAGCAACTTTTTGTTTTGATCACTAGAATGTTAATTTAAAATTTAAGATATATCTGAAGTTTAGCACAGTATATGAATTGTTTTTGCTGTTGTTATTTATTGAAGTAATTCATTCAATGACTTCCAGAAACAGCATTGGCTTAGACTTATAAGGATTGGGAGAAAGGGGTGTTCTCTTTTTTTTTATGATTAATAAACCCTTGCACATTGTTCTTCGGTTTGTTTTTGTTTTGGAGGTGGTTTGCTTTATGTCTTGGTTTTGTTTTTATTGTCTTTTTTAGGGTTCGTTTGGTTTGGTTCGAGAGCTGGAGATTCACTCCAGTGTCTGTCACATTTTGGGTACATGCGCTGCCACTGAGCTATACTCCCAGCTCTTACATGTGTGGTGGTTTTTATTTGTTTGTTTTATTTTGCTTTGTTTTTTTCTGAGACAGGGTCTCGCTGTGCAGTTCAAGCTGGCCTTGAACTCACCTTGTAGCCCAGACTGGTCTCAAACTTGTAACAATCTTTCTGCCTCAGACTCCCAGGGGCTGGGATTACAGTTGTGCACCACCACGTCCAGCTTACCTGTGTTTCTGGATTTAAATTTTGGAAGGCCTCCATTTGTAAACATTCTGTGGTCTTTGTGTGTGTTGCTAATTATTTGTATTAACATTTATATTAATATTGTCAGATTATTCCTCTGCTACATAAAATGTAATGGAATAGAATAAGGAAAAACAAAGGTTATGTTTTATGTCTGCTGTGCCAGGTTTTAAACTACAAACTTTATGTGCTTTTAATGCTTGACAACCAAGCTGTTAAGAAATTGAGTCAAAACAGTTTCTTGTTAAGTTTAAGTAGAAAAAAGATCTTTTTTTCAAATAAGGAACTAAAGGTCCATGCATTAGATTTTTATTTTATTCAGACTTGATCAAAAAACTCATGAGACTAACGGGAAATATTTGTGAAATTGTCAAGGAAATGAGATCTTGAAAAATTAATAGATTCTGGCTCCTTTTCACAAGCTAGTTTGGGATAGTGCCATGCTTATAAACATAATGCTGTAGGATTTTTGTATCTTCTGTGCTTTTTTGGGACATTCGTCAGTCTTGGTATTTTCCTAGAACAGTTAGCAGAAAAGGTTACTATTGGTATTAAAAAACTTTCAACTGAATCTGTAATCTCTACTGACAGAGGTTCACTCTTAATTATTGGGTTGATTTGGCATTATTATTTGAATTAATATTTGTCTTGAGAGTGGCCAGTATGTATTAGTGACCATTATAAAACTATCGTTTATCATTATCATACTACTTTGGACAAGTGGGTCATCTTACTGTAATCCTGAATTTAAGAAAACTGATAAAATTATGGCAAGAGAAATTTGCTAATGATGTTCATTTCTAGAAAATATTGAATATAGATGGAGGAAATTTTTAGCATTTAACTTTGAAATAACTTTAATCTTGAAAAAAAGTTCCTCTGTACCCCTCACCCGTATTTTCCTGGTGTTAATATGTTTTATAGTAGTATATGATTGTAAAAGCCAGGAAATTAACATTTTATGACAGTGAAACCATAGGAGCCAGGCGTGACAGGATATGGCCAGGCGTTGTGGGGCATGCCTATAATCCCAACACTCAGGAGGCTGAAGCAGGAGAATTGCTGTGAGTTCAAGGCCAGCCTGAACTACATAGTGAGACCCTGTCTCAAAATAATAACAATAATAGTGATGTTGGTGATGTAGAAACTACAGGCTATATCTGTGTTTCTCCATTTTTTTCCCCCTGTCCTGGGAACCCATGTTTTATTTGGTTAGCATATCCCTTTTGTCTTTGCCAGTCTGTGACAGTTATTCAGTCTTTCCTTGTCTTTGATGACCTTGACATTTTGAAGAAAATTGTCACTGTTTTACCGAGCATTTCTTGTTTGAGGCTTCTCAAATGTTTTCTCATAACTAAATTGAACTTGGGGGTTTTGGATAAGAATACCGCAGAAGTAGGTAATGCCCTATTTGGTGCATAAGAGAAAGGAGTACATTAAGTTGATGTATTTTACTGCTAGTGATGATCACTTAATTAAGTGCTGACCTTCTCCATTGTAAATTTACTGTTTTTATCTTTGTAATTCATAAATATCTCAGGGAAGATACTGAGATTATTCTAAAAATCCTTTGTACTCTTTTTCCCACTAACTTATAGAATCCATTGGATGGTTCTTTCCTACAACAATACTATAATTACTGGCAGCGCATAATAATATTACTGTATTATTTACCTAATAAAGATTTTTTAAGGGGCTGGGGATTTAGCTCAGTGGCGCAGCACCTGCCTGGCAAGTGGGAGGTCGTGAGTTCGATTCCTGGTACCGGAAAAAAACCAAAACCAAAAACAAACAAAATAAAAATAAAGATTTTTTAAATGGGGGAGTGTATATCTTTAATACTATCAGGTTTTTCATAGATTGCTTAAAAAAGCACCCAGCTTTGGGCTGGTGTAGTTCATTGGCACAGTGCATACCTAGCATGGGTGGGACCCTGGGTTACACAAGTAGTCCATTCTGCATATGCTAAAAATTGAATGAAGGTTGGTGATACAGCGGCATCTCAGTTCACAAATTTAATTCTTTCCATAGTTCTGCAGCCAGAATCATGGAGTTAAGTTTGTGAACTGAAGTGCCACTATAATACAGATGAGCTTATAGGGTTCCTTTTTAATATCATCCACTTGAGAGAAATAAAACCTAAAGATACCTTCTAAGTTTTAAATTTAAATTTTATTTTTAGAGCTAACACATGAGTTTCTACAAATATTGGAGAAAACGCCTAGTAGGTTGAAGAGGATTCGAAACTGGAGGGTAAGAGTATTGGCAGGATTTAATAGAATCAGTTTGTCACTTATCTAACAGTTCTATAGTTAATTTGAAATTACGTGTTCAATAATTTTCTTTTCAGTGTTCCTAAAAGCATTATTTTATGAACTACATATGTTCATAGTTTAATTACTGTGTCCAGTAGAATTTCTAAGTGTATTATCCATTTTATTTTTAAATCTCAACAGTGATTGTGATGGAAATACTATCTTTGTTTTATGAATAAGCTATAGCCTAGACAAATTACTGTCTCAAATGGTGGGCTAGGATTTAATTTGTATCTTCATTTTATAACCAGTGCTTTCAAAGCCCTCTGTTATACCTCTAAGTTAAGATCTTCATTTACTGGCAGCATAAAACCTTGAGCCCCAGGTGATTTTATTTTCATGTATTTAAAATAGAATGTCTTTAAGCAAAAAAACTCACATTAAATCCCTGTGCTGTCACTGTTTCTTTTGTGTTTTATTTACATAGGCTGATCAGGCGGTTAATAAGAAACCAAAAGTAGATGGACAAGTAACAAAGACCCCACTTCTCGGTTCATCTTTGGTCCAGAATTCCATTTTAGTAGATAGTGTCACTGGTGTACCTACAAACCCAAGTTTTCAGAAGCCATCTACTTCCGCATTCCCTGCACCAGTACCTCTAAATTCAGGAAATATTTCTGTTCCGGACAGCCATACAGCTGATAATTTGTCAATGCTAGCCACAGGAATGCCCAGTACCTCATACGGTTTATCGTCACACAAAGAATGGCCTCAGCATCAAGAATCAGCAAGGACAGAGCCAATATATTCACAGAAACAGGAGGCATCTTTGTCTGGTAGCCAGTACAACATCAACTTCCAACAGGGACCTTCTATATCACTGCATTCAGGATTACATCACAGACCTGACAAAATTTCTGATCATTCTTCGGTTAAGCAAGAATATACTCACAAAGCAGGGAGCAGTAAACACCATGGGCCGATTTCTGCTACTCCTGGAGTTACTCCTCAGAAAATGTCTTTAGATAAATACAGAGAAAAACGTAAGCTAGAAACTCTTGATGTTGATGTAAGGGACCATTATGTAGCTGCCCAGGTTGAACAGCAACACAAACACGTGCAGTCACAGGCAGCAAGCAGCAGTTCTGTAACTTCGCCTATTAAAATGAAAATTCCTATTGCAAGTACTGAAAAATCTGAAAAGTACATGGCAGAGAAAAAGGAAAAGAGTGGATCACTGAAATTACGAATTCCATTGCCACCTACTGATAAAGGCACTAGCAAAGAAGAACTGAAGATGAAGATAAAAGTTTCATCCTCAGAAAGACACAGCTCTTCTGATGAAGGCAGTGGAAAGAGCAAGCATTCAAGCCCGCATATTAGCAGAGACCATAAGGAAAAGCACAAGGAGCACCCTGCAAACCGCCATCACACCAGCAGCCACAAGCATCCCCACTTGCACAGTGGTGGTGGCAGCAGTGGCAGTAAACACAGTGCTGATGGAATACCGCCCACTGTTTTGAGGAGTCCGGTTGGCCTGAGCAGTGATGGCATTTCCTCTAGTTCGAGTTCCTCAAGGAAGAAGCTGCATATCAATGATGCCTCTCACAACCATCACTCCAAAATGAGCAAAAGTTCCAAAAGTTCAGGTAGTTCATCTAGTTCTTCCTCCTCTGTTAAGCAGTATATATCCTCTCACAACTCTGTTTTTAACCATCCCTTACCCCCTCCTCCCCCTGTCACATACCAGGTGGGCTACGGACATCTCAGCACCCTCGTGAAACTGGACAAGAAACCAGTGGAGACCAACGGACCTGATGCCAATCACGAGTACAGTACAAACAGCCAGCATTTGGACTACAAAGACACATTCGACATGCTGGACTCGCTGTTAAGTGCCCAAGGAATGAACATGTAATCATTTGTTTAGGTCAATTTTTCCTTTACTTTTTTAATTTAAAAATTGTTAGAATGGAAAACTTCCTCCTGATCTAGCAGTGGTACACCTGCTGTTTCTGCCACTGCTTCAATATTTGTAAGTGCTGCTTTATTCTTCATTTTGAAAAGAAGAGATTATAGTAAACAAGTCTTTATCTCCACATATGATAGTGTTATAAATACTGTAAAAGCATGGAAGGTGCAAAACTCAGTATTTCTACAGTTGCAGCTAAGAACATTAGGATGAATGGCTGGCTGCTTCTAGGAATATAAGATGCCTCAAGCATTCATTATTTATAATTTGAATACTGTAGCTATTTTTTGTTGCTTGGCTTTTGAATGAGTGAAAATTGTTTTCTTTTGTGTATTTATACTTGTATGTATGATTTGCATGTTTCAATGATAAAGGGATAAAACAGTATACTGACAACTGTTTACAAGAAAGTGGAGGAAAATGTACATACATTTTTGTATGTTTAGATATTACCATAAATACTCAGGATTGGAGCTGCTTGTAAGTATAACAATATACAGAATAACTTTATTTTCTCTTGTCAGAGTCCATCACTAATCTGAAACAAAGGTGGCACTTTTTCATGTTAACCTTAAACTCTAGGCCTTACTGGAAGCCGCTGAAGAGGGACACTTCACTACCAGAGGAGTATGCAGTGCCACACGTGGTCTTTTACACTGTGGGGCACTCGGTTTTTGCCTTCAGAGGTTCTGACCAGATTGGCTGCTGAAATGGCCCCTGATTTTCTGAAGGCTTGAAGAAGAAAAAAATAAAGTTTACATACTCTTGATGTGAAGTGCATTTAAATGTTTGTTGGCTTATTGCAGTATAAAACCGCTGTTACTAATTATGTGGATTACTGTGATTTGAAAACTAAATTCACAAAAACTTACATAGTGAAGAATTAGTAAGTTTTTCCTTAAAGAACTTTAACACTACGTATTTTAACAGTAAACAGGGATCACTTTTCCTTTAGCATTCAGAATGATACCATATTCGTAAATACTCTCCCCTGAAGCGTGTTTGTGTGTGATGTCATATTTCTTTTTCAGGTAAATGCAGTCTTCCTTATAAAAATGAAATTAAACCTATGCTTTCTTAGTTCTTTTATATTCTAACAATAAATAAAAAGAAAAGATCACTGACTGTGCATTGTACCTGTATTTATAGCTTATGGTTGCTATCAGGAAGCTCTGTAGAATAAAAACATCAGCCTCCAGACAAACTCCTAGCGGAGGTTTTACATTTGTTTGCACATCTCAGTATATTCCTGTTAAGGTAAAGTTTGCACAGTCATCTGACTCCTGATTGAATGATAGACTTTAACTTGTTTAAGTTTTGTTTTAAATACCAGTGGTATGGTTCTTGTCTGTTAGCTAATCTTGACTTCGTTCTGTGGTAAATCTTTGAGCTTTCAAATACCTTTGAGTTGGGTTGGATTCAACTTAAATTGAACTGAAAACTGTCTTAATTTTTCCACTGCAAATGAACTATTTTTGTTACAAAGCCACTGATATGTGCACAATTGTAACTTTACTCAAATATGTTGTGGTTGTAAATAATAGAGTTTAATCTGTGCTCTACTTTTATTTAGCAGTTATCTAAGATAACTGTGTATTATTTCATCGATGTTATTTGAACTTGGTATACTAGGAGCCTCTTTCTAGGGACTTTACCTAGGCAGCATGTCCTCACATTTGTTCTTGTCTTGCATAATGTTAGTAATCTTTGTCATTATATGTAACTTTGTTGCTCTGTACGGCATAATATTGTATCCATAAACATGGTAATTTTGATGCAGTTACACTTTTACAGTGGTACATGATCCAAGGACTAGTATAGAATTAAGCTGAGGGCAAGATGGAGGGAGGGAAGGGTAGTGTTCTTGGTAATTTAGATGTTTTAGATGTGAAACCTCTACAGAGCTATCATGTGAAACGATAATAGGGTGGTTGTGCTACTGTATAATTGGGGATAATACCAGGAATTTTAATAAGATTTTGTAAAGAATATCCAGAAAAGTAGTGAACTTATTTTCAGTATGACATAGAAGACAATGTGAATATTTAAGGTCTGTGACTATAGTTAAACTCACTAAGAATTTGAAGAATTGTTTTGAAATGGAATAAAGGTAATTTTGTTGAATCTTTATTGGTGCTAATGATGGACAGTTAAAAAGATAGTTAGTGTATATTGTTATGGATCAGTACTTATTAGTACTTCCAAAATTGAATTTGAAATGCTATGTATTAACTTTTCACTCTGTAAATGTAATCCTCTACAATGACTTTATTTATTAAAGGGGAGTCAGTTGTGATTTTTACAGGATTGTGTGAGCTATTCAAACTCTTTAACCTCTGAAAAGGATATTAAGCTTCCAAAACCACAAAGGGGATAAATGCAGAAATCCTTCTAAGTTTCATTGCCATTAAACAAAACCCTTATAATTCATATTACCATGAGTTTGCTTAAACCATCTTACTTGCATATAGTAGTCTATCGGCCTGGTCCCATTCGGCTTTACCAAAGAAAAAGACTCAGATGAGTGGACATTACCGTGAGTCTTCTTGTAAGTAGCCATAAATAAGCCAAAATAATATCAAACTTAGATATGAAATTCCACATGTGCAAAGTACTGTTAAGGTGATACATTTTTATGAGATTTTTTAAAAATATTTGAAATATTAAAAAACATTATCTTTAAACATCTTATAAAAGAGTGATTCATTTTTAAGTTGTCTTTTCCCTAGATCACAGATTTGTTACCTTTGTGAAGAAGCACATTGCAAACAAAGGCTTACTTCTACCTCTTCCAACTAGTTCTCCAATATTGAGCTGTGCCCCCTAAATATTTGCCTTAGCCACTTTAAAATGTAATTTCAGAACCAAAGCAAAGAAGTGTTCACAGAAACATTCTCAGAGGTCTACTTTTAAAAACAGGTGTAATGTGTTAATGGTTAAATATCCATTAGTGGTTAAGCCCTTGCAGTTTTCTAGTTGCAGGTTTTTTGTACTGAAAAGTCGTAGCATCCAACCCAGGTTTCTAAATTTGTACCTTCACCTTCCCTCTGCAAATTCATTTAGGTTATTTGGAGGCATTTAAAGAAAATTTCTGCCATGGTGTAGGGCTTCTTAAGGAATGTCCCGGGGTGCTGCTTATGTTACTTTGTGCTGACAGCTCATAATTACTAGGTTACCTGACTTTGTTGGCCTGTCCTCTGACCTAAAAAAAACAACTACTACAGTTGGTCTGCTTCAGAGAACCAGTGTCAGAGATTTCTCAGTTACCAGTACCTTGCCTTAAAAAGTTTTGAGCACATATTCTTTTATATTTGATAATTTAAATGTATATTCCTTAACCACCCTTAGAAATAAACAACTGCTTATATATGCATGAGTATTAAACACAGTGTGCCCACCTGATTGATTAGACATATTAGGGTTTTTCATTCATGAAAAGTAGTGGTTTTTTTTAACACAGTACCACCTGTAAAGAAAAATAGTTCTGTTCTAATCTCACCATCTCCTTTTTTTTTTGGTGCCAGGAATCAAACTCACGAGCTCGCACTTGCCATGCGGGTGCTGTGCCGCTGAGCTATATTCCCAGCTCACCGTCTCCAATTTTATCTGAACAAAGAAGCAGACTTTCTCACCTGCCATTGTGCTTATCTTGCTAGGTGACTATAATTTCTTTGCTGGGAGAGATTTGCAAGCTCTTATTATGAAGGATCCTGGATTTGGTAGTTCTCTTGATTGTATGGTCTTTCTCATGGGAAGCAGTAGGATTCACTGACCAGGCCAGAGAGTTGTCAAATCCCAGCCTCTGCAGAAACTTGAATTAACTAAATTCAAGCCCATTTATTTAAAATAGACTGATTCAGACAGATTTTTGCACTGAAAAGCAGTACCTTTTGTCCCCTGTCCAGTTAGGGTACAGGGTTATAATAGCAATATGTTAATTTGACAATTCACACCTACATGAGAAATCATTGGGCGTATGACTGTGATCAGCTGATAGAGATATAAGCTATCAAAAGTTTGTTTTGTTTTGTTTTGTTTTTAAATATACTGAGGATAGAACACAGCCACTTTCCCATCCCTTTTTTTAAAAGACCTGGAACTCGCCAAGTCACTAAATTGCCCAGGATGGGCTCAAACTTACGATCTTCCTGCTTCAGCCTCCCAGAGTGGTGGGATTACAGATGTGTGCCACCATGCCTGGCTGAAATATGCTAATTTTATAATTTGAAACATCTGTTCTTACAGCCAAGATGCTCTTGCCAGTGGAACTGAAATGCTCAGAAGTATTTCAGCATGCTTTCGTTTCTTTATTCCATTGTCAATTTGGGACCAGCCTGCTTTTGTCTCTGACTTCCTGTTGCATTATTTGCCATCATCTTTTTTGCCTGCCATATTCTTTCAGTAGGTTGGTAAGCAAGACATTGAAGGTTGCATGGCTAGGAGCAGTTCTTGTCTCATAAATGTAATTTAACCTGTTCACTTTGACCCATTAATCTCAAAAGTAAATTCCTGAGGGCTAATTTTCTTTATTTTCAAGTATTGAGCAGAAACCTTACTTAAAAGCCTTTCTATTGACATGTCTATTTAGTAGTTTAATTTGATTCGCCTATTAAGTACTGATGAGTCCATTCTTAGTGATGAGGACAATTCTATTTTTTAATTTGTGTTTGTTTTTCACACAGCTTCACTCGGTTAGAATACTTCACAAATACTAATGTGTTGTAAACGGTGATTGGAATTCTATTTTCTAAATGTACTCAGAACCCCCAAGGACAACTGAATGGGATGTCTGCTGATAGAAAAACCAGAACAGGCATATGTGTGTACTGGCATGAATTAGTCACTGAATTTGAGCTTCTCATATATAAGGAATTATTAATAAAATTTGTTTATTAACATAAATCCAAGGCTCTAACATGTCTTGTTAACGTGAATCAGAAGTAACTTACAGTCCCTGGGCAAATGTGGGAAACCTGGTCTCTAACAATTGACTCTTTATCCAAGTAACACATTGTCAGAGTACAGCTTCTGGGATTGCAGTGGTACCATATTTCATGAACCTAATTTTTTCCACAATTCTGGTTGCAAAACGAATTGAACAAGAACCAAATCAGATTTCAATATCAACGTTGAACTTAACCATTGATTTTGATTCAGTTCTTGTCCAGTTTGGGTTTTGACCAGAATCGTGGAAATAATGAAGTTCGTGAACCATGGCACACTGTATGGTCACATTAATAGTACACCCTTCTGATGTCGGTGCCCTCTCCAGCTTCCCTCTCCTCCCCACTGAATTGCCTGTGTTTTCCACGTGAAAGAAGATGAAAGCTAATTGCAGTAACTTTCCTAAAAGCAAGTTATCTCAAAAATTATTCATGAAAAACCTAGATGTAAATTCTTTATAATAAAAGGTGTTAGCGATAATAAGGACTTTCTCTGTAGTACAGTATAATACTGCAGTTTTGCTGATTGTACTGTATAGTACTGTACTTTTCTGTTACACTATAGTATATGTAAGAATTGTGCAAATAAAAAGTCATAGTTTCCTTTGACCATTTCATTGCTCTGAATATTGTAATGAACATCCTGCATCCATTCCTCATTTAAGGACCTACTCGTAGGACCGTAATTTGGTCATTAAACCAGGAATGTCTAATTCCGTTTAACCAAATTCATCAAAATCCATTGTTCCCCCTTCTTTTCTCCTCCTGTTTTCAGTTTTTAAAATTTTGTCTTAGCCCTACTATGTAATCTGCCTATTCCCTGTCCAGCACCACCTCCCGAAGTATCCTCACTAATGAACATTTGCACGGTGTTGCCACAAAATGAAAACAAGCAGCTTGGGGCTGGGGATTTAGCTCAGCGGCAAAAGCGCCTGCCTGGCAAGCGCAAGGTCGTGAGTTCGGTTCCCGGTACCAGAGGAAAACCAAAAAAAAAAAAAAAAAAAACCAAGCAGCTTGTCTTTCAAATGTCTAGGCATATACCCAAGCTCAGTTTACTCTAGTCTTGTTTTACAGATGAATTCGTAGATTTTCACAATTTTACAGCATTTTTTAAAGGTAAGTGGTCCCTGGGCCTTGAGTGGGATACGCAAGCGATTATCAGTAGATAGAAATGCCCACATCAGGACTAATTGGCGGGACCACCAGGAAAGCATTTTAAATGCAAGTTTCACTTTAAGCAGAACTAATACTTGTAATTGAAAAGTAACAACTAGGCCTAGCAAGTGATAGAGGTTTGGGCTGCTGCTTGAGCAGATTGAGCTCTTTATTATACTGCAGAAGGAGGGGCTGCTTACTACAGTGGTCTTGTAGGATAGGATTGTTACAGTCCAGATGTGGAATACTAAACAACTTCCAGTGCTCCAGAGTTTGCACTTTGCTGTATTGTGTCTGCTAATTCGGTGTAAGGGCTAACGGAGGTTAAACTTGTGATACTGTAGGCCTACCTACTTTTTAGAACTTTACTTGAGAGTTAAATTTTCTTTGGTTGAGCTGGCCAAAGAATAAAGGAGTATTTAAAAATAATAAAATGAGTTCTTTAGAGTTGCTGAAAATAGGGGCAGTTGTGCTTGGCAAATAGGATGATACTGCTGGAGGGGAAGGCAGTATAATTGCGAAGTGAACAACGAAGACCTTGCACACCGCTACAGTACTCAGAATCACAAACTGGACTTCTACCTTTGTTTACTGTGTCTCTAGTATTTTGTTTTGAGTAAAGCTTGAGAAGGTACCTGGTTTCCTTAAACTATAAACCTGTGAAAGGCAGCAGGAAAAAGAGTTTTAAAATTTGTACAAGTTGAGCTGGGCGTGGTGGCGCATGCTTGTAATCCCAGCACTTGGGAGGCTGAGGCAGGAGGATCGTGGTGAGTTCGAGACCAGCCTGAGCTACAAAATGAGCTCAAGGCCAGCCTGAACTGCATAGCGAGACCCTGCCTCAGAAAGACCAAAAAAAAAAGCCCAGCAGTTTCCCTACTGGGATTTGAATGTAATCTTCCCCCAGCCTCCCTAAATGCTGAAATTACAGGAATGTGCCACTGTTCTGGGTAGATTTTTTTTCTTTTACCTTTACAATAAAATTACATTCTTTCAGGTCATGTTGATACTTAAATGATTAAAATAAGGAATATAGTCATGCTCTTGTATCAAAATTTTTTTTAAAAAACTGCACAAATGAGAGAAATAAAATATTTTTACCTTACCTGGACTACATTTCTTCTAAAAAATTTAATTTCGACAAAGCCCGATACTAGTGTTAGAGTGCACATAACACCTTGAAGTCATGGCAGCCAATGAAACAAATTAGTAGGTGTCAGACTTAGTGGACTAATCTACAGCAATGAAGAAGACCTTATCAAAAACAGTTGAATGTAAAAGGGGTGGTAAGAATTCATACAACTTTACCAGCGTTTCAGAAGTAAAAGTTTGTAGAGTGACTTCAACAAATATGTCCTTCATTCAGATAGTGGTCGGTCCTTCAAAAAGTTTTTGTGCTGACTCATCCTCCCTCTAGATCAGGCAAAAGTCCCACCAGCCAGTTTAGTCTTAACTAGTAGCTTTGCATGTGTGGTCAGGACCTGATTTACTCTGCAAAGAAGTGAAAGCTGTCAGATCATACTATGACTAACTTACCTGGGAAGCAGCCAGAGTTTAGGGCACCACCCTAAGTATTCCAACTTACCAGAAGATAGTCAGATGGAATCCCAAGGCCTTTAGCTCCTGTTAGGCCTTGAGGTTCCTGGAATCCTTAAGGTTAAGACTAGTGCTGAAGATAATCTAGAATCTCTTCATTTACCTTCCCACCTCACAGTCTCCTTTGCAATAATTAAGTGTAATTACCATGCAAGATGATATAGGTTCTTTGTACGATTTATTTAAAACATGACAGGAAAACTGAAAGGCCAGAAATTAAAGGAAATATATAATGCAATAGAGATGGTAGTTCCTAGTTAAAACTGTAAACACTGGAATAGGTTCTCATTATTTAAAATATTCCTCTTATACATACGATAACACCTCAAGCTTGAGGATGCTAATATGTAAGATTTTTAGTGACTGCAGAATCTGGTTAAGAAATTGAAAGAAGGATCTCAACCATCATTCTCCACAGCTAAGCAGTAACCATTTATATGGCCCTGGGAAGGATCTTGTGTGTTCACTGATTTCTCTTCAAAAAAGAATGCTTCAGAAGCTGGAAAGCAGAAGGTCGCTCATGCTGGTCCCTAGGAAGGGGAAACAACATTAGAAGTGGCACCCGGTAAAGTGACAGCCAAGATCTACTTGATTCAAATGTAGACTTTAAAGACGTAACTACAGCCACTGACAGTCCAGCAGAGTTGAGTCCAGGCTCCAGTTTTTAGCTGTGTAAGCTAAAGTCCTCATCAGGAAAATGAAAACAATACCTACTTCACCTGGAGAAATAGTATATATACAGCATTCTAACACTGGCACAGCAGGGAGTCAAAAACTATTGTGATTCAAAACTAGGCTTTACTTTTCTATTGCACTTTGTTCAATTTGGGGTGTAACTTAGAGTTCACACTTTGAGGGTATGGTACAATAAGCACTTAGCGTAAGATTTACTTCCAGGATTTAGAGTATTAGAATCCAGGCGTAAACCCAAGTGTAGTGGCACACACCTGTAATCCCTGCACTCTCAAGACTAAGGCAGTAGGATTGCTGAAACTTCAAGGCCAGCCTGAACTACATAGCAAGACTTGCTTCCCCCCACCAAAATAAAAGCCAGAAGTGAAAAGACTAAAAAGTAGACATGTAGGCCGGGTGTGGTGGCACACGCCTGTAATCCCAGCACTCGGGAGGCTAAGGCAAGAGGATCACTGCAAGTTCAAGACCAGCCTGGGCTACAAAGTGAGCTCAAGGCCAGCCTGAACTGCATAGTGAGACCCTATCTCAAAAAAGACAAAAAAAAAAGATACGTAAGCCAAGTGTGATGGCACACACCTATATTCCCTGCTAATCAGAGGACATGGGAAGGAGGAATGGGAGTTACAGGTGAAGGAATCTGACTGCCACCACCCTCTCCCATGCTTGTGCATCTGCTAAGGATGTCCGATGGGTTGCTAAGGCCCAAAGAGCACACCCATAACTCCTGTCATTATCAGCCTTGCTCCTGACAAGCAGCCTCAACTCCCTGTATGTTCTCTAGCTTTGTCCCTGGCAGGTAACCTCAGCTTTTCACTGAACTCTCCCCTTCAGACGTCCTATTTTGACTTTTCCCTTTCATAGTCTCCATTTATGCCCATGATCCTATAAAAGAATTTATAGCCTACACGAGTTACCTGGTCTGACCTCTGTGCCAGGGTGGTCTCAGGCTTGCTCTGGAATGAACCTGTCCTGTTGAGCTCATACCTTTGTTTTCTTCCTCCTTTTTTCTTAACAGGCCAGCGGGGGCAATTTAGTGAGATGCTGTCTCAAAACTAAAAAGCTGGGATGTAGCTCCGTGGTAAGTGTGTACCTAGCATCCACCAGACCCTAGGTTCAATCCCCACTACCACAAATAATAATTTCCTAAACATTTTTAAAATGTGCTTTGGTTATTGAAATAATCCCATTTGAGCACTCTTGGATGAGCATAGATAATTGGTCAGTACTGTTGTACTTTAGGCTTTTCTTCAAGAAATTAAAATCTTGCCAGGTATGGTGGTGCATGCCTGTAATCCCAGCACTTAGGAGGCTGAGGCAGGAGGATCATTGTGAGTTTGAGACCAGCCTGGGCTACAAAATGAGCTCAAAGCCAGTCTGAACTGTATAGCGAGACTCTGTCTCAAAAAGACAAAAAAACTTAAAGAAATTTTTTTAAAAATCTTTTTAAAAATATAAATAAAATAAAATCTTTTGAGGCCAAGTGTGGTGGCCCATACCTGTAATGCCATCACTCAGGAGGCTGAGGCAGGAGGATCGTTGCAAGTTTGAGACCAGCCTGGGCTACAAAGTGAGCTCAAGGCCAGCCTGAACTGCATAGTGAGACCCTGCCTCAAAAAGACAAAAAATAAAAATAAAATCTTTTGGAAATGTATTGTTCAGTAAGCCAGCCAGATGAACTACTGAAACAGTCAACAGCTACAGTCGTCTATTTCAAAGGCATTGTCTTGGTTAAATTGCCTTTTTATTTTGCAGAGTACTGTGGATCAAACCGAGGGCCTCACATACTAGGTAAAAGCTTTACCGCTAAGCTGCACCCCCAGACATTTGTTTTGAATAGCTATTGTATTTTTTCCCTGCAAATGCCCATAATGTGACAAGCCTCATGAAGTTTTTGGTTGATTTTTTGGTGATGTTGGGGATTAACCTCAGGGCTTTGAGCATGCTAAGAACATGCTCTATCACTAAGATATCCTCAACCCTACTTTTCCCCCCAACATTTGTTATCCCCTCAATCCTTACCATTTGGCCTACTGCTTATAGGAATCATCCTCTTGAAATTAACCAGATCTAATGAGCTCATCTTCCTTGCCATCTGTAGCATTTGATTTTGTTTTGTTTTGTTTGTTTGTTTTCCAGTACCGGGAATTGAACTCACGACCTCGCACTTGCCAGGCAGGCGCTGTGCCACTGAGCTAAATCCCCAGCCCCTATCTGTAGCATTTGAAGTGCTCACTCTTCCCTCCTATCGGAAACTGTTGGGACTTAACTGTGATGCTGGAGGAAACTCCTCTCGTTCCCTCTCGCTGTGCCTGCTCCTTTCCCCACTCACATTTACATGCTACATTTGACTCTATGCATATTATTTTTTCCTTGTGCATGTTCAAAAATATTTTTCCCAGTCCTCTAATTTTTTCAAGAGTATAGCTAACAACCTTGTAAAGATTTTGTTGTTATGTGGTGCTGGAAATTAAACTCAGGGCCCTGTGAGCTATACTTCCAGTCCCTATAAGGCTTTTTAAATGCGTGCCTCTGTTTTTTGATGGGTTTGTTTGTTTGTTTGTTTGTTTGTTTGTTTTTGTTTGGTAAGGCAGTATCTCAGTAAGCTGCTTGGCCTGGCCTCTTAACTTGTGATCCTCCTGACTTACTCTGCTGAGTAGTTGGGACTACTGGCCCATAATACTGCACTAGCTTTGTACCTCCAATATAATTGCTTTTTGGAGCTCTAAATGTCTTAGAGAAGAGGCAAGAGGCTTTTCAACTTCTTTTCTCTATTCCTCTCTCACATGTGTTTCTGCCATTATCCACACTCAAAACCATGAAATCAGCTAGGCGTAGTGGCGCACGGCTGTAATCCCAGCACTCAGGAGGCTGAGGCAGGAGGATCCTTGCGAGTTCAAACCCCAGCCTGGACTACAAAGTGAGCTTAAGGCCAGTTTGAACTGCATAGCAAGACCTTGTCTCAAAAAGACAAAAAAAAAAAAAAAAAACCCTATCATCCTTCTCCATTATCAAGTCTTAATTCACCATCTTCTAAAATGTTCTTGTATCTTCTTTACAGTCTCACTGGTTCTGCCATCAAAGTCTAAACTCTGGATTCCTAACTTGTCTTCTAGACTCAAGCAGTGTCCATTCCTGGCCCGTCAGTACACTGCCATCTGATCTGCCATCCAACTTACTCCTGCCTCAGCATCAGGTGAGATGCAGGAGTCTTTAGGGTCTTTGCTGTAGAATTTCAGGAGGTAGTTACGTGTGTGTGTGTGTGTGTGTGTGTGTGTGTGTGTGTGTGTGTCACTAGCTGAAGTGCATTAGTGTTCTTCCTAATGATTATTAACTAAAGAGTCCTAGTTGTGTGCCTCGTAGACTGGTAAGCAATGCATATGTGCCATTCGCTTAACCTTCATAATTCTGTTTTTTAGCAGCACAAATTGTGTATTGCTTTGTTTATGAAGCAACGATTCAAAAGGAGAGTCATAAAAAATTCCACTCTCTCTCTAAAGCTCTATTTGTGTATGTAATGATAACTTGGAAAAAATGAGAATGGTCAAATGGTTTCAGACTGAGAGTCAATAATAGATAATTGTTAAACGCGAAGCAACTACTGTAATTTTAGAGCTAAGACAGATCACATCTAGTACTGGTCCATATGATGTCCCCAACACCATATGTCCCTTTTGTGGCTTTGTTTTTTGTTTTCAGGGACATGGGCAGTTCTGTGCCGGGGGCTCTGTTCACAAAATCCACACTGAGATAGCTGAGGTTTTTCCGCATTTAGCAGGGCCCAGAGCTACACCCCTGGAGTTCATATTCCTGCCATGGTCCATGTGTTCATCCTGAAGTCAACCAGGACAGGCTGACACGTGTGTGCTGGGAGAGGGAGGCAGAGGGACACGTTTCTCAGCAGACAAGGAGAACTGTGTATTCTGAGATTCAGTCAGAAAGGCAAAATGAACCCCCAGGAGTTAGGGTATAGGTGTCATACGTGCTTGCTAAAAGGTTAGGTGCTGGAATCTTGCATCTAAGGATAAGAAACACACTTCTTTGGAAGACAGGAAACTGAGTCTCAGCCTTACGTGTATTTCAGCTAAATGTAATACAGTGAGTGATTTTAGGATGCCCTGCATCATCCTAGTTTTAATGGCTGAGTTCTAGCTCCATATGCCCGTTGATAGATAAATAGATCTTTAGCAAATTTTGCAAACCCACAGTTCGGGGAATTATTGTTAGGACCTGATAATACATTTAATTAGGGCAATTTCTACTTGAAGCACCGCCCCCCCATACCTGATACAAAAATGCCAATCACCCAATGCAATTAGTCATGAGTACTCTCGGCACAAAATCACTCTACTTGATTTTGTAACTGAAACAGCACATAATGGGCCACAAATTCCGAGGGAACGTCAACTGCTTGGAGCCTATGCCTTTATTTTCTTCCTGTTCTCTGTTTCTTACCTGGTTAGGCACATGCGCACAAAGTCTGCTGCATTTTCTGAGAAGTGGTCTGGCAAAGGAGGCATCAGCCCTCGGTGTGCTCCAATATAAAACATGGCTGCCATCCTGTCCATGGAAGCCAGTGGAGGCTTCCCTGTGGCCATCTCAAACACAGTGCAACCAATGCTCCAGATATCTGATTTTCTTCCATAGCCAGACTCATTGATGACTTCTGGGGCCATCCAGTATGGAGTTCCATGCATGGACTTCAGCATGTCGCTGTGAGTGCCGTTTAAGCCTGCCCAGGCCAAGCGCTTGGCGCAGCCAAAATCAATCAGCTTTATTATTCCAGTTGGCATTAGCATAACATTGTTTCCTTTGATATCTCGATGTACCACACAGTTCTCATGGAGATAAGCAACACCTTGCAGAATTTGTTTGGTATATTTACAAACTACCATCTCAGGCAACGGCCCAAAACGGCTTATAATACTAGAGATTGAGCCACCAGGAACAAACTCCATGAAAATGCTTACAACGTTCTCTTCCAAGCATGTCCCCAAATAGGCCACAATGTTAACGTGTTTCAATGCTTTGAGCAAATCTACCTCTTCCTGAAGTTTCCGGTATTCCCTCTCAGTAGCCAATTTATCAGAGGTATCCAAAGCTACTTGTTTTACCGCTACTAGCTGCCCTTGGCTAGTGAGACCACAGTAGACCTAAAAGCAAACAAATACCTTATTACTGCATTTAAATGAGATAGTAACACATTCACAAAGAAAGGTCAAGGAGGGCTGGGAGTGCTGGTTTAACTTACCGTGCCGTAGGCTCCCTTCCCAAGGATCTCACCCTTGGTCCACAGGATAGATTCTTCATGCTTTAAACTATTTTCAGAAAACATCCTTTCATTTGAGGTCAGACATTTCTCCTCCCTGTCACATATCCTGAAGCCATTACTATACCTCTGGAGAGATGAGACAAAAAGAAATATCATCATTAAACTGAGTCTTTGGAATGGAGAGAGTACAGTGGTCTTCCTTTCAAACGCACCTGCTTGTGGTTATTCTCACTGTTGATAGGCAAGTTCTGGACCTCCAGATTTGCCAAAATGACCACATAAGCAGTACTTGGTTAATAATAGCTTCTCTAAGTTTTGTCCCTGTTTCCAATTTAGGACCAACCACAGAATTCCAACTATGTTCCTGTAACTAATCTCATAGCATGCTGCACTTCCAGTTAAGCAGCTGACTTTCCCACATCAACAGTCTCCAGTTAGGACACCTCTGAAGCCCTCTCTTTTTCCCCCGCCATAAACCCTTCCCACTCCTCAGCCTACCTGTGTGTCCCTACCTGTGTTGCAAAACAGATCAGTTTCTCTCTTTCTCTCTCTCTCTCTCTCTCTCTCTCTCTCTCTCACACACACACACACACACACACACACACACACACACACACACACAAAGAGCTATAACAAAGAATTTAAATAGCCATGACCAACAAAATTGAATCCAAAGACCTTTGGTACTCTGAAGAGAATGCACAGACCAGCAGAATCAGTTGTTAGACATACAGCATCTCAAGCTCCAGACAGACTGAATCAACATCTACATTTTCATGGGATCCCCAAGAAATTCATGTTCTTCTTTAGTTACTTCCTTTGTTACTGGGACAAAATACCTGACACCCGTAACTGAAGGAAGGGGAAGTCTATTTTGGCCCATGTTTCAATCCAGTCTTGCTAGTGCCAATGCTGGACTGCATGGCAGAGGGTAGGGCAGAGGATGGCGGCTCAGGCCAGGGCGGTGGGGAAACAGAACAAGCAAGGGACAAGCTGAAGAGGGAGATAAACCCTTCCAGGCCATGCCCTCAGTGACCCTCTCCTCCAACCAACAGCAAACAACATAGCTCTAGCACCCCATAGTCCAGTCACCTGCCAAGCACATGAAGATTTGGGGGCCATTTTCAACCTAAACTAGTAAGCCTTGAGAAGCACTGCCTGGAAGTCAGGGGAAAAAGTATCCCTCTGAGGAACGTAGACCCCTTTCCCCAAATGTTTGATCAGGACCAAACCTTTTCATTTTGATCTCCTCTACTAGTAATCTTTTTTTTTATTATTTTTTTTGTTTTCTTGTTTTTTTTTTTTCCAGTACCGGGAATCGAACTCACAACGTTGTGCTTGCCAGACAGGCGCTGTGTCGCTGAGCTAAATCCCCAACCCCTTTTTATTATTTTTTTAGTACCAGGTCTCGAACTCCAGACCTTGTGCTTGCCAGGAAGGCACTGTGCCTGCTGAGCTATATCCCTGGCCCTCTACTCGTAATCTTAAAAATAAAAAGGATGTTGACACAGAGATCCTTCCTTGTGATTGTCCATGTGCCATCAAAGCTACCTGGATCCCCCTTACCCATTTTTTCATTTCTCTATATAGAACAAAATTTAGTACTGCTTAGAAAAGAAAAGGTCCTAAGGGTCAGTGCTACTTTTTGGTTTTGTGATGCTGAGATTGAATCCAGGGTGTGGTGCATGCTAAGCAAGGGCTCTGGCACTGAGCCACACCCACAGCGCAAATGTCCGTTTTTTTGCAGCTTGGAATGATGGTCTAATTACACTTGCTGGCTTGTTAGCACCTCTTCCATTTGAAATGGCAAGTTTGTAGGCCCATTTGGGACACACACGTGTGCACACACCGTACCCACTTCTCACCCCAGCCTGGCAGCTTCTGTAAATCACTATCTACCTCTAAGCAAGGACAAAGTTCACCCTGCAAGGACAAAGTCCACCCAGAGAGCGAAGCTGGAGATTTAGGATGACCAACATGCCCCACTGTGTAGTGCTTAAGGGTGTGGAGCTGGCGTCAGGATGCCTGAAAACACCACCTACTGGCTCCATGATCTTCTAAACCTCAGTCTCCTCATTGACAATATGGGGACATATTTGTACCCATGGTATTTATAGAACTATTTTTTGTTTGTTT